GATTGATTGATACACATTTTAGCATAATAATACCCCAGTATATGTATCAATCAGTACTGGCCACATACTTTGATTACTATACGGGGCAAGAGAGAGGTCCGACACGCCCAACATAGGGCGCGACCATTTTGAACCCTATGATACAGTTTATAGCTAAAGAATCAGATCGCTCACTCTGCGTCGGCCCTTTTTATCTCAATGTTCCAGTTTATACACTGCGCAACTCAGATAATACAATATATGACAACCGCCTATAATAAAACAGCAGTCTTCTGCGTATCCTGAATTTGTATCCCTGGAGTGGATGTTATTTTGGAACTTTCAACTGGTCCGAGTGAGCTAACTGATTCTTTAGCAATAAACTGTGACTCCAAAAATAATATTCACTGACACTGACAGCGGCAAGCAAAATATCAGGTGCGTTTTAATCATCCGCTTCTGCTTCCGGAATTGTTGGTTCAGTCGTTCTTACCTGTCAGATTAAAACAAGAAAACCGACAATTCCGAAGCAGAAGCGGATGATTAAAACGCACCTATTAAAAATATTGCGCCAAGATGTAGGCAACACGTAATAAGGGTTCAAAATGGCGGAGTTTTCTATCTCCTTTTAAAAGGCACTCAGAAAGCTGCGCAGTGCGACCATTCTCCGTATAGTAAAAGAAAATCAAAGTATGTGGTACTGGCACTCTGAGGTGGCACGTTTGACCTTTAAAAGTAGAAATTTTAATTGACACTTGACGTTTTCAGGATATGAAAAGTTTTCTTTACGCGGACTTGGTTATACATGGTTAGTTGGATTTTTGTTCTGTTGCTTTTCAAATTCGTGTGTATGAGCGAGATGTGAAAATCCTTTATAGACAACGGTTAAACATCTTAATTACTTTGAAGAAGAAAATCAGGGCAGTATTCGCAAATGTAAAAAGGACAGTACCGTTTTAAAATTCTTTTATGTATGTGATTGAGTGTCAAAAATGTTTGAATTTCGAAACTGAAATACTACTTTTTAGTGAAAAGTTTAATTACTTTTAGTTCAAAATATAACGTTAGTTTGTCAAGGGAAATATATATATATATAACACACAAAGTTAGAGTTACAAAATAAAGGTTTTGCTTTATTTCTTAAGAATTACTCTAATCTAAAACTTTTCTAGTATATTATAGAAATTTATCTATACGTTATTTAGGTACTGCAGAATCTATAGGAAAGTATGTAGTTTTAAATATAAAAATTTATAACGGAGAGATATTTAGTGTAGTTTTTTTACAAATATATACTTAGTGTCTTGTTTTTGTAAATGAGTTCAAGTATGGGAGACGAAAATCGTTACTTTTTATTATAAATTAATTTGAATTTATTTAAAAATGGGCACTATATGTATATGATTTTCGTAGTTTTTACACTTGTAATAAAAATATCAAAGTTATATATATATATATATATATATATATATATATATATATATATATATATATATATATATATATATATATATATATATATATATATATATGGCCATTTACTACACACAGCAAATTCATAGACAGAATACATATCACTATTTGACATTCTTCTTAAACTCACCAACTTAAAATTGACTTTAAACTAAGTGACTACACACATAATTGTTTGAAAGCAGCCATAAGGTATAATTTAATTATTGGATACTATAAAAAATTAATATTAGTTACATGTAGAGTTTTTTTTTATTTAAAATTTATGGCCTTGGCAAAAGTACATGTAGAGTTAAGGAGGTCCTTTCGCCACACCTCTCGCCTCAAATGTTAAAAAAAAAGTTATTAGATTATGACTAAAATTAATTTTTTTCTAATAGTTGAAGTCCTTATTTATCTAATACTGAACTTTTAACTATACTTTACCTTGCAAATTTTTGAGAATTTTTTTTTTAAATGTGAGTATTTGTACAGTGCCTCACGAGAAAGTAAGTCCTCAACAACAATTCTCGAATTATACTATTATTTATTAATTAGATGGAGTAAAAAAAAACTAAAAATAAGGTTTTTGAAATATTTAAATTTTGTTTTATACAATAAAATATATATAGTAAACCGTGGAACTTATTGAGAAATTAATATTAAAAAATCACAAAAAATTTTCAAGTAACCTAGTTGAAAATTTTTTGTGATTTTTTAATAATAATTTCTCAATAAATTCCACGGTAACCTATATATTTTATTGTAAAAAACAAAACCTAAATATTTCAAAAACCTTATTTTTAGTATTTTTCTACTCCATCTAATCAATAAATAATAGTAAAATTAATTATAATTCGAAAATTGTTGTTGAAGTCTTACTTTCTCATAAGACACTGTACAAACACACACATTTTTAAAAAAAAAATTCTCAAAAATTTGCAAATTTGCAAGGTATAGTTAAAAGTTCACTATTAGATAAATAAGGACATCTACTATTAGAAAAAAATTAATTTTAGTCATAATCTAATATTTTTTATTTAACATTGGTGGCGAAAGGACCTCCTTAAGTAACAAGAAATTTAAAAACAAAAACAGAACTTTATATCTAGTGAACTTAATTTAGTACAGTCCTCAACTTTCTTAGGCTAACACTGAAGATATCTATTTGAATCTGGCTAAGAAATAGCCATCATCTTGTTAAAAGAAAATATACTACTTGGATCTAAACTAAATAATTTTTTGTTACTTGGAATTCTTAGATTAATCTCTGATGAATTAAAATTTATATAGTCAATCCAATCACAATCTCTGTACTCAACATTATTTAAAATATATCACAGCCTGGTGCTTTCTTCTTTGTAAAAGAGATTTAGTCTTAAAGATATCGAGCGTAGTTTTATATGAGATCTTATAAGGGTACAAGTATTTTTTATGATCAATGTGTGTGACTTCCAAGGGCATCCATATTTATGAAACATACTCAAGATGGGGTCTTACTAAGGCATTATATATTCTGATTTTGGTGGTAATCCTAAAATTTTTTGTATTTCTGATTTAAAAACACAAATCTTTTATTGCTTTTTCAGTTATGTTTAAGAAATGGTTATTGAACTTCAAATTAGACTGAAAGACAACTCCCAAATCATTTACCTGATATTTACGATTTAATGTGACATCACAGGTCTTGTGTCTAATGTAAAAAATTAGGAGGCTACGGATCCTTACAACTTAAAATATGCATATGTTTGTAAATGTTAAATAGATGGATAAAAAGTGTTGATTTTTATTTACAACTATAATAAGAATCTATTAAAAAGATTAAGAGCAATAGAACATATTTCAACAAATTTCTATAGGTACACATATTTTTGATACCTGATAATCAATAACCAATACATTTTTTGGAGTAGTAATAGGTTTATTAATACACATCTATTATTTTGTTACAAATATTTATAATTAACATAATAGTTGATATAGGTTCTTTAAAAATTATATATTTTGATTTAATTGTTGAATTTATTCATGGGTAATTTTCCTTGTAGCGTTTTTTTACATTTTGCAGAGAAATATTGTATTCTGATTTTAGCTGATAAATCATGTACATGTAAATGGGTTAAATGTAGACAATGTTAATGTTTTTGGGCTGGCTAGGAATGCTGGGCTGGGATACCAACAAAAAAAACAAGGAAGCACAAAGCACTAGATCAGTTTCTATCACTTATACACTTATAATTTACAACCATTCAAGTAACTAGCATGTTGGAAATACTTCACGAAAATATATTGAACATAAATCTGTCGAATGCAATGTATTTTCTTTTTATAACACACCTTCTTAGCTTGATTACTTCTAGTACTCTATTTATTTCAATGTCCTCAAATAAAACGAGCAATAAAATACGTAACAATAAGGATAAAATACATACTGAAGTGTATTAGGGGTATTTTTGATCTAAATCCACTATCAAAATAACAAAGTTTTTAAGCTGTGAATGTATTACAAAAACTACTTCGATAAAATGTAAACAAAAGTTTGTATTTGTGTACGAAATATGGGTTGCCTGCGCATGGTAGCGAGTTTTTAACCGGATTTATGACAAGTGATAGATTATATCCCGAAAACATCAGCGCAGTAAAAGCTGCGCGTCTTTTTCCCGCCCAGGGAGTATCATAGGTCTGATAATACCAAACAATTTAAAAAAATTATAATCAAAAATCTCGATAAAGGGTTGAGAAAATAACTTCTACTTTTAAATACAATATTGCTAATGTACGAGACTTTATAAAATTTAGGATAGTTTTACCGAAATGTACTTTCTTATTCTAATGATTGATTTAATCTCCTCAAATAAACTGAAATCATTAGGACAGAGGACTGATTGTATCCTTTATTTCACTGAAATCCAAAGAACAGATTTAATTTCTGTATTTAACAAAAATCTACATTTGTTTTATCAAATTGATATTTCAGGAAAAGTAGATTTTTTAATCTTTTATTTTACTAAAATCTATAAGTTTTTTAATTGAATTTACAATACATCCAGAACAGATTAATTCTGTTTTGTATTTTACTGAAATCTATATTTATATTAATCATATTGATAAATTAACATTTCCGAAATAGTAAAGTATTGGTTAAATAAAATAAATTTAAAAATCAATGTACCTATGAAAAATTAAAATCTTTATAAATTATATTGGATGATTCTTGATTTGTCTTGTAAAATCAGTTAACAAAATCAATTCTACAATTTTACTATTCATTGAATATTTCTTTCCGTGTGTATATTGATATGAGGGTAATTAAATTAATCAAGAACTAATTTATTTTCTTGAAACTGAAATAGTGGTTCAAAATGTACCTTAAAACTACAAACAATTTTTAAATTCAAATTTATAAACATTGTGACCATTACAACACAAAAACAAACAAGATTTGGAAGTTACCTCTAGTGGGGAAGAGTGTATTGCCCGTTTGAGGATCGCTGTATCCGAAAATCTCGTCCGCCCCTCTATATAGATATATAAATGCTTTACTTAAGAACTTTAGTTGACTCCATGCCCAACTAGGGATTAACGAAATTTCCAAAAATGAATCGGCCACAGCTCTACTCAAAATACAGTGATTTACAAAAAACAGACAACACGTACGTTTTAGAAAAATTTTTGGACACATCCCGATTTAAAGATGAAGATAGAATATTAGATGTGGGGTGCGGAGATGGAAATTTTTCCGTGGAATGTTTGATTCCTAAGTTGCCGCAAAATTTTAAAAATTTCGTCGCATGTGATGTTTCGGAAAAAATGTTAGATTTTGCTAGAACGAAGTATTTTTTGCCGAAAATCAAGTTTGTTGCTCTAGATATTGGTGCCGAAGAGATTCCGGAGGAGTTTGAAAATTCCTTTAATCATATTTACTCGTTTTATACTATGCACTGGGTGAGAAGACAAAGGTAAGTCAAAAAGTTATTATTTTTTTATAGTTTAGGAAGTGAATAAAAGGAAATTTTTTCGAAATTTTAATCAATATTTCTCTTTATTATATTGTCGGTATTATCGTGTATAAAATTGTTTTTAGTAATATTCATATCTAGCTTTTATTTTTAAGTAAATATTTTTTTTGTATTACATAATTTGATTTTTTTTTAATTCTATTAAACTCGCTTCAAAATATTTTTAAAAATATAAAAAAAAGTAGTTACATAAATATGCCTTACATATACAGGGTATTTCTCTTGCGAAAGGAGACATCATTACAAGTTTATAATATTCTTTACAGGGTCAGTTATATTTTGTTTCTGATATAACGAGTATTTAAATGTTTTAGTCCAAAATACTGAACACCTATATTTATTTGATTGTTTTTATGTAAAGGATCCCTCATTTTTCTTTATGCAAAATGTCTTTCCGTCGAATATCATAAATTTAAGATATCTTGGTAAACTTTACCTCCAAACCAAATATGTCCATATACCCCACTTTAATCGCATAGCTAATTTTAAAGTTACAGGGTGCTAAAATCAAAAAATTCCTATTTGATGTAAACATATGACTTATTAACAGACAAATATATATTTTTTGGTTGTTTGTAGCGTTGATATGTTCTAATGTAGTATAAACTTACATATACGTTGTTTAAAATATTCTAAAAAAATTTTAAAATTTTGAGAAATGGTGATTAGAAATAAAAGCAGGAACAAAAAAAATGTTACAGTACAGTTGTGATTGTTATATTAATAAAAACCTATTTCTACAAATTATGTATACAGGGCGATTCCAAATACTTATGGCTACGGATAGACATATTAGTTAATTCTAAGAATCACCTATATAATTAATTTTAATTTTTTGTAGATCTGTTTTAACAAGTCACTTGGCCATATTAACTTAAATCACATAAAATTTTACTCAGTCACTTTTCGCAGTAATCCCACGAAATATGATTTATTTTTCGTTTTACACATGTGATTATTTCAAAAAACGTACCTAATTCTTTTTAATCGCACTGTATTGGTCAATTCGAAACATCAATGTTTTTTCATAATTAGTTAATATGCCTTAATATAAGTTAATAACTTTATACAGGGTGTACCAATGATACTCAGGAACAAAGAAGTTTTCAAAATAAAAAATTAAACTTTAATTGCCAAGAAGGCCAGTTATTAGTAGTAATATCCCAAGGACAGCGATAATTCGAAGTAAATTTTTTTCACTTACCGAAAGCACTTTGCTTGGTAACTTCTCGATGCCGTAGGTGGGGGAAAGTTACCTTAAGAAACGTGCTTGAGGTATTTAAAAAAAAATTATTAGTATTTCTATCAACATTTGAATTATTGTCTTTTCTTTGTCCAATTTCTCTAATTCTGCTCTGATCCTTATTGATTCCTCTTTTTTTCCTTCAAAACTTATGGCTTTATCGTTTCGATTTTCCATCTCAGGCATATCGTTCTTTCCTACTACTTCTGTTTTTCCTAATAGTTCTTCTTCTCCTCCTTCTCCTATTATTTTTCCCCCTCTTAAATCCATATCAAAATTTCGTTCACGCTATTTAATTTATTTATGAGAAATTTAGGTAAATGTAGTGTATACAAATTCAATATAATTCAATATACGCCAATGCCTTTATTTTATTAAAATTGTGTTTTTCAAAAATCCAACCTTAACAATCTATCCCAATAATCCTAATAACCTACCAAATAAAAAAATAAACAAATTTGTCAATTGAAAATGTTTTTATACCTGTCAATCTGACAGTGGCAGCCTGTCAATTTGACTTCTCCATGTTGGGCGCCATTTGCTATGAGAAAATCAGTTTTGTTATATAATATAAAAAACAATAATTTGGATCTCAATAAAGAAGTGGAAAATTCTAACCTCCAAATTTCAATGACTTACTTGATATTGAAAGTCCACTAAACGTTTGGTGGGTTTACTAAAAATTAATTTTGAAAATTTAAAAATAAAAAAAATATAAATTCAATAATTATACTAAAGGTTTTCTTTCTTCTTTCTGAACCCGCCTATTTGCACCTCATTGTTTACTTACCTTTTCCCTCTGCACCCTCTATATCAGCTTCCGATCTGGTATTCTACTTAATACTTTTTCCTTTAATGTTTTTAGTAAATTGTTCCTTACTTTCCTTTTAAAATATTTTTCTTTTTGTTCCAAATGAAAATAATCCAATACATCGGTTATTAGTTACATCTTTATTTCCATTCAATATAAAATCTATAATCCCTATTTTTTTTTTAATTTGGTGACATCAGCATCGACTACTAAGGCCATTAGCCTCGTGTTCTGTGTAGGCTTTGTTACTGTTTCCCAGCGCCACTTTAGGAACAGCACTGTTAATTAGAACCCAACAGTGAATGGTCGAGTGGGGAATCCTACCAAGGCATCAGAATTAATTTTAAATAATTAAATTAAATAAAAAAATCCCGGCCAACGGTGGGATTCGAACCTGGGACCCTTGGATCCACAGGCAGAGACTCTATCACTGAGCCACCCACCCCTCTATAATTCTTATTAAATGACAATTCTCCAAAATATCATTATTTCCAATCAATAATCTTTCTCGTTATACAAAATCCAAACATTTCTCTTTCAAAATTTCCTATCTGACATCTTAAAAATTCCCATGATAATTCTCCATCAATCGACAACTTGATTTTTTCAAATAATTTTTAATTTTTCGGGACCGACGTAATAGTTCATACATAATGATGTGTTTGGTGCAAACTTGACTTAAATGATAACACCCCTAGGGAACTTACCTAGAAATCCAACTCGGTAACAACTCTCCCTTCTTTTTTTCAATAGCAAGTTTCACTTCATTTGAAAATTAATTTCATCAGTAATTTAATGCACAACATAATAAAATATAATTGTATGAGACCTGAACTTAAATAATTAAAAAATCCTGCAGAGCTCTAACCTTAATTAATACAAACTTTAATTACAATCAACTAAAATTACAAATTTATGTTATACATCAAATTAATGATAAAATTAGCTTTCAAATGAAGTGTTACACTTTATAATACATATAACAGTTTTTTTATCATGCCAGAGGGCGCTAAAATCAAAAGCAACAAAATGAATTACTAAATTCTCTATAAAATAACCATTTCAATGATGTGATGATCATATATACTTGCTATAAAAAAAATAGAGGGTTGTTGCCGAGCTCCAGAGGATTGGTTGACAATTCGTCCCCTTTCCAATAAAAATATTATTTTTTAAATTTTGAAAAACTCCTTTGTTTCTGAGTTTCTGGGGTTTCTCATAATTTCACTAGGACCAGTTCTTGAGATACATGGGCGCTCTAATCAAAAAATACCCATCATTCCATTTGCAAGATAACAAAGAGAATATATCATAGTTCGTCGTAGAAGTAATAGTAATAGTCCTTTATAATAACATAAAATAAGGAAAATTATGAAAACAAGAAAAGTTATTAACTGTTCAAGCTAATTTAAAAAATATATATATATATATATTGTTATTTTAAAATCAAGGTTTCCATCACATTAAAATATATCAACAGTACAAATTACTAAAAATATAAATTCATTTGTTTTTCATTGTCACATAATTACAAAAATTAGGAATTTTTTGACCCTAATACCCTCAAAATCTTAAAAACTAGCCATGGAATTAAGTGGGACCATGGACATATTTGGTCTAAAGGCCAAATACTACAAACTTTATAACATTCGACTGAAAGCTATTTTGCATAGGAAACGCAAAGCGTCTTTGGTGTTACACAAACTTCAGTGTGGAAAGTGAAATTTTTTACACGAGTGAAATATTTGACCCATGAAATATCTCCTTGAGCCGTTTTAGTGATACCTTGCATGGGCGTCGTTTGGGGGGGGCAACTGCCCCCCTGGCTTTTAGCGACTTAATCAACAACGCGTAAGATTATGCATACGAACAACAATCTCATATAGAAATAATAATATTAAGGCTAATATAGTTGAAGAACACAAAAACCCTGAGGGATTCCTCAATTTTTATCTGATACTTGACAGTGTTTCTTACCATTATTTGCTTACACTGAAAGATGAGATTTTATCAGCGCTTCGTCTTCGATTCCTTAAACTCAAAGTTTTTGCAACAATACTGTATGATTAACAATATCAAACGCCTTAGTCAAATCACAGAATATCTCCGCTACATCTTTAATAAAATTAATTTTAGAGTAAGCAAGTCGAAGATAAGAAAATATCGTAATAAAAAAATAGGGGCGGAGTAGGCGATCCAGTCCTGATAATTGATTTAGGAAAGCAATAATGCATAATGTGTAATTTTCGATGGATTTTCTTCAAAAACTCCGCAATGCGCATGCGTTGTAGTGCTGCTAAATATCGCAGAACTGTGCCATTTTGGATTTTTTTACCTCGGATGTTATAACTATTGTTACAATAGGTAATTTAGTATTTTCCAACTATTCCATTTAATAAAATTTACTTTTTTTCTTGCTTTTTGTTATAATTTTAATTTTTTGGAAAACTGGAATAATAGAGATATTTTTATATACCTTCTGTATATTTTTAAAAGTCAGACTAGGCTGTGACATGTATGGCTTGATATGGTTGCTATATGGTAACCAAGGCGTGTTATTGTTACAAAAACGTCAAAGTTGTTTGTTGAAGCGTCAACTGAATTAAAATAAATTAAAGAAATAATGGATTCATCGGATGAAGAGCTGCCCGAAGCCATTTTAAAAGCTGCAAATGAAGCACATTTGGAGGTGTTACCTGCCAAATCACGAGGAAGATATGAAAAACAATACGACCATTTTGTCATATGGTGTAAACAGGAAGGGGTAAAAATCTACAAAGAAGAGGTGTTTTTGGCGTATTTTTCGCACCAAAGTAAGGTTTTGAAATCTAATACTTTATGGTCTCGCTATTCGATGGTGAAAAGTTTAGTAAAAATAAAACAAAATTTGGATATAAGCCAGTTCCATAAGTTAACGTCATTTCTAAAACAAGAAAATGTTGGTTTTCGAGCACAGAAGCCGCAGGTTTTTACCAAAGAAGATATATCCAGGTTTATGTTAGCCCCTCATGAGGTATACCTTATGATTAAAGTGAGTACCATTTTTGCTTTAGCTGGTGCTCTCCGCAGAGCGGAGCTTGTAAATATTACTCTCGATGATATACAAGATAAAGGCAATCTGATAGTTGTGAAAATGTCCGATTCCAAAAATCATTCTTCAAGATCATTTGTTTTATGTGAAGAAATAAATAATAGAAACTTTCTGAAGCTGTACAGAAAGTACGCAGGTTTACGACCACCTACCACTCCGCATCGCCGCTTTTTTATTAATTATAAGAAGGGAAAATGCTCAATACAGTGCGTTGGCGTAAACACCTTTGGTTGGTAAGATGCCAACAGAGATTGCTGCATATTTGCGTCTACCTAATCCTGAACGATATACAGGACACAGTTTTAGACGTTCTTCAGCAACATTCCTAGCAGACTCAGGTGAAACGATAACCAATATAAAACGTCTCGGTGGCTGGAAGTCCACTACTATCGCTGAAGGCTATTTGGAGGACTCCAAAACACAGAAGAAAAACATTTCGAATAAAATTCTTTCAAATAGAAATGACTTGCAACCTTTGCTGCCACCGTCATTTTCACCTTCATGCGACCTGCAACCGATGTCACTCCCGTCCACGTCATCTTTTCAATCTACGAGCGTTACGACTATTAACAGCCAATTAACACCAACTAATTCCTCTGTACCGGCAATTTTACATAATTTACAAAATGCTACAAATTGTGGATTTAACATTAATATCCATAATAATTAGTTGTTTTTATTTAAAGATTTGTATATGTTGAAATAAATTAATTTTCCAAAAATGATTTTTCCTACTTTTTTGTATATACGGTCGTAGAAAAAATAATGTTCCTAACTCATGCGTAAAGTGTCTTTCCGCACTTGTTAGGAAAATAACTATATTCAGCTTTTCAAAATAAATTACTTATCGATAAAAAAATACGTTATTTACTTACCTATAGGTACCAGTTTAGTACAAAATTTGGACTACACAACACGACCGTTTCCAGTAAACAGACACTAGTTTCAAAACATGTCAAAACCTTTTGATGTTACCGCTTCCAATCGGGACTCGAGAAACAAAACTCAAACTGTCGCAAAACACGCCAGTATTCAAAAAGTTTGCGAAAAGTTGCAGTTTGTGTTTTGTTTGCCATAAAGAACACTGTATACTGATACAAAATGCAATAAAATATACGGTCTAAATTAACTCAAAAATTATTATTAATCTTGTTTTCTTTTAGAAAAGCTTTCAAGAACATTTACAAAATGCTTGCTCCCGGAGGAGATATACTATTTACATTTTTAGCTAATTCTTCGTTATACGATATTTACCAAAACATGTCGAAACATGAAAGATGGAGTCAACATTCAGTAAAAGAATATATTTCCCCATATCATAATTTGAAACACCCCGAGAAACGTCTAGAAAAACTATTACAAGACATTGGATTTGAAGTTAAGGTGTGCAAATTAGTCACCAGGTCCTTCCTTTTTCCAAGTATGGAGATTTTTAAAAGTAAGTACTGGAGAATATATTTTGAACTTAAATATTAGACAATAAATATATTTGTTTGTGCTCTTTTAATTAACCGAATAAATATTTTATCAAGATATTTATGCAAACTTTACAGAAATACTTATTATTTATGATTAGAAAATGAATGAGTAATTTTATTCTAACTTATATAACTACAAGTACGAAAGATTATCCATAGTCTCCAATTTGCTATAGAAAACGACAAATCAATACCAGATAAAATAATTTATTAAAACTTTAAAGCTGCAACCAGTTTCGGTTAATAAGTCGTCATCAGTCATATAATACAAAAATAAAAGTTGTGACAGGTATTATAACATTCCTCTCATACTATCACAACTTTTATTTTTGTATTGTGAGCTTGATGTTCTCTACACCAATACCTTGCGTCCAAAGTAATAACCATAACAGTTTCATTTGCTTAATTTTCCAACACTAATTTTATTAAGAGAGTTTTGAAATTTCTGAATCTTCATGATCTTTTCCTACTAGCAGGATGGTAATGTCATCTGAAAAGATGGCTATTGTATTATTCCGGAATATCTCTGTTATAGTAGATAGAAGGCAGGTCCCAAAACACTATTTTTCTTTGATCCAAGTAAACTTCTTCCTACATTATTCAAAATGCTCTATCTGTAATGTAGGATTCCATTAAATGTATGGATTGTCTGGGCAATGACATGTATGTTCAAGTCCTTGCTATCGATATGCTTTTTTCGGATTAATATTCTCTTTTATTTCGGTAGCTACTTCTTTTGGAGTTGTGAGTCTGATTGCATCCTCTCCTTGAAAAGGTTTTCCCACCTAACTTCTTTAAAGTATGTTGTACCTTTGGTTCTTGGGACAGTAGTGGGGGTATCCCACGCCGCCTAATTGAACTGATGAATTAATAGTTTCTTCGAGCTGTGATTTAAAGCTGAATATAATGGAAGAGTTGTTAAAGATAATATCCACAATTGCTTCAAAATATTTCGAGTTATGTAAAAATCTGACATTTTTTTTGGACAGTAAGTCGGTTTTTCAGTATATTTTGGTTGCCTTTAAAAGCTGTTTACGTTTTGTAGTTGTTAATCTAGGTCCATTGATCTAGGCCCATGTTAGACATTAAAGTCAGCTCCAACGATGAATATACAGGGTGTTTCAGATTTAAACGGACACAGTTTAATGGGAGGTAGAGTACACTTAGCTGAGTTCAAAACACCCCTATACTTAGCCTTTAATCTTACTCTTTCTGAGATTTGGGTTTGATGATGTATTATTGTTTCTTTTTTGTCGCAGAGACGATTGATTCTTGGTTCCATTCATTTTTGCATCCCAGCTCTGTGGTTTTGAGTTGTTCACAAAACTGTAATTGTTTAATTTGGCAATTGGCATATTACAGGTATCTTTGGTTTGATTGCACCATTCCTAATCATTCTTGCTGCGTTTGAATACCCACATCTCGAGCGTTTGTTTATCCACATCGGCCACATCTGTCCCACTACATTTACGTATATTGAATCACGTGATTAACGATTTACAACATCTCAGATGCATCCGATGTGGATATTCAATCGCAGCTACATATATTGTCTTTTTTTACACATTATTTGCCATTATTATTACAAATATTCTGATTTATTTTTCTACTTTAAGATACAATAACAGCAGTGAATCCGATTGTTCAAAAACTACATCCAGATGAAGTTGAAGAGTACAACGCCGGTTTCCTCAATGAAATGAAAGGTATGAAAAGCGTAATCATAGAAAACGTAAATAATAATGGCGAGAAGACCATTCGAGAAATACATCAAATATTCATCTTAGTTGCTACAAAACCTCAAAATAAGAAGTCCGACACATCAAAATTGGAATAGAAAATGTAGTAATTATACAGTACCTGCTTTAAAATTAATATATTTTATTTAAATAAATGGAATAACTTCTGTTTATTTCTCTTAGGTATACATACGGTCGAATAAGAAATCAGACTGACATGAGTTCTTATTCTATCGATTTACGTGATAATTAAATTGAAAAATTAAATTATTAAAGATTAGTGCCACAGAAGAATATCCTGTGTTAGTGCTAATATGACGCCCAGTGTAACTCTACTGTGCACCGGTTATGCCGTGTTTCAAAATATGTAGAAAACAGTCAAGTAAAAATGAATTTGAATTCTGATTATTATAATCTTACGAAAATAACTAAATTTCGAATCATAAAGATATGGCCTGAGCACAGTAAGAACCCCGGTATCCAAAATGAAAATGAGCCTTATTTGTTCGTCTTATGTTTAAGTAATATAATGTAGCAAAATGTTTATAGCAAAATATAGTATTGTGTAGCTTATGGTTATTATACATTTAAATAATCTGAAAAATCTTGTGTTCGGCTCGTATTTTAAGCTTCATACTAATGAATAATAAATAGTCTTTCATCACGGGTTATTTGATTATTATAATTTAAAGTTATATTTATTTAGTCAAATATACTAATTTATAGTAATGGGTCGCTGGAAATCTTTACAGACATGTCCGACGGACAAAAGTGAACATGTTCAAAACAGGTTGCCTGAATTTCTTACAAATTTTCGAATGTTCGTTTCATATCTGATAAAAACAGAAAACGTGAAAAATTAGCAAATAAGTATTTTTCAAATTATTTGTCTAAAACAAGGAAATACAAATTCAACAAGTGTTTCCAAAGTTTTTTTGAAAATTCATCCAGGACGGAGAAACATTTTTAGCTATGTGTCTTCTATACCAAGGGAATATGAAGCAATAGTTTCTGGAAAAAAGGTCAAAAGACTCAAAGAAAAGGGAATAACTACATGTCAGAAACATGTCTGTCGGAAATCTGCAAAAATTATTTTTCTGGAAAAGACCCATCACTACGAATTAAACAAAAGTAATTTAAGTATAGGAAGTGATTCTTAAATACACTTATTATTATTTAAGGAGGCAAATAACTGTTTTATATCGAGTTATTATAATTATTAAATACATAAAATATATATTTTTTTATTTGTTATATCCATATATTATTATAAACTATTATTAATGCAAATACATTTAAAATCCAATACTTTTTAGTTTTTTTTAAATTTTGGCTTGCTCAAGATAATATGTTAATTAAATGCTCTATTCAGGATGTCACGATATGCAACAGACAACGCTCTACCCCAGGAAGCTCTCGGTATTTGATGAATTTTGATCTAGGAACATGAATCCTTAAAGAGCTTAGTTACCGAAATACAGGGTGTTGAAAGTTTAAAATCAAAATTCAAAATTTGCCAAAAATCAAAAACGTCTTTAAAATTATTGTTTCAAATTTGCAATGTGCTCTTAAGAAAGTAATATTTTGACACAGACTAACTTTTGAAAATTTCAACCGGTGGCGCGCTATCAGGTTTTTAATTTTTTTTATGATTTAATTTTTCGTTAAAATTGTAATAACCTTTTATGGAGCTTAAATGAAAGGTATTGTAGAAATTTGCTCCTAAACAAAAGTCTGCATTTAACTAACTAATTTTTAATGTCTCAATATTTTTAAATTCTAATTACATATTATTATTATATATTAAAAATATATCATAAAAAATAATTATATTAAAAAAAATATTAATATTAAAAATATTATATTCAATTATTTTAATAAATATTGTTAAAAATAAATGTCTAGGATCTAGGTATTAAAATCATGTTAACAATTTAATCATCAAATCGATTTTAAAATAGATATTACATAAATCAAAATAGAAATGATGATCTGACATATTTGATAGCTCATGCCATAAGACTAAATTGTACACTTCACGTCATATAAAAGTGGTACACTTATTTTTCTCAATGTAAAACCAACTTTACTTTTGAAAATGACAAACAGTAAGATTTGTCAAGTTTGTCAGATCATTTGAGTATGATAAAATGCAAAAACCACGATTAACAGCTTTGCAAAAATGGGACAACAATCAAATTGTAAACGGAAAAGAGAGACTGGGAGACCAGACAAGATGAAACATTAACTAATTATTTACGGCAAGATAGGCACTAGTTGTGGTCCAGGCTCCTTTGCAAGAAGTGAGCGTTGACGTCCATCATCCTTTTTTTGAGGTGATCGTCGTTGTCCAGCCTCCTGCGCCGGAGTTGGACTTAGTCGTCCAGTCTCCTTTGCTGGAGGTGAGCGTCGCCGTCCAGCCTCTTCGGGTTTTTGTGTTTCAGAATCCATATGGTTCCCACGAGTAGCTAGGGAAGGAAAGGTCGACCGACGCAGAGCCCCGCATGCGCCGGCAAGGCTAGATACAAGAGGGTGTCGCCAGGTTCCCTCAGGGGAGCGTTTGCTGCCGCATCTGCCCCTGCGAGAATTCATCCGTCGGCATGTTACCTTACACCTTAGATTGAGGGAGTTGGTTCGCGGCGGTAGCCTTTGCAAAAGATTTTGAGGGTTTTTAGGCTCTCGTACTCTACTTATGTCTACCACTAACCAAGGGAAACTTGGCCGTCTTCCTATCCACCACCCGGAGACGCGCTCAATAGAGGACTTCTATACAAGGGAAGTGCAACCAACTTGACAACATTTTTTTGACACTAATGACATAAGAAATCGGGTCACATAAAGAGGCTGTTATTTTGTTAAATTTTTGGTTTTTCTTATCTACTTTTATGCCGTTTAGATACCATGTTGTACCCATAACGTAAAAAAGACTTTTTATTTTAGGGTATTTTACATTTAAAGGTTGAAAACATTTGTCAATATCAGCTGTAGATAATGTCAAAACATAAGCGTAGCATTGCATTTTATTTTTTGTTGTTAATAGTCTAATTGTGTTTCTCCTGCTTTCTTGAAACATTATTTTTCATTTGGTTTTATTTATTTATGTCGATTGCAAAATGCTGCTGCTACGAATACAAGTTCTATACAATATACAACCAACATACAATGCTAGTTACGTTGTGCCCATCTATGGTTACGCCTGTGTTCTATCATCAACATAATTGACAGCTGACAATGACAAAATATTTCAACCTTTAAATGTAAAATACCCTAAACTAAAAAGTCTTTTTCACGTTACGGGTACAACAAGGTATGCAAATGGCATGAAAGTAGATAGGAAAAACCAAAAATCAAACTAAAAAACAGCCTCTTTATGTGACCCGATTTCTTATGTCATTAGTGTCAATTTTATTTTGTCAAGTTGGTTGCCCTTCCCTTGTATAGAAGTCCTCTATTGGCACTCAACCGCTGAGTAATGCTTCAGTAACAAAAGTGTTAACAATAATTATTAGAAAAACTGATTTAAAGAATTGTGAAGCCGAGCCGATCCGAAAATACATATTAGCAAAGTAAATAAAATTTAAGGTGAAGATAACTCTAATTATTATTATATTTTTAAATGAATCCGTAAATCTTGGCGGAAGATGAAAAGTTAACAATAAATTTAATTAACTCAGTGCTTAGAAGATTACAAGAAATTATTAATAATATATATTAATAACTTATTTCATCTGTTTTGAATTGTCAAATGTATTTAAATTTCAAACTTATTCATTTTAGATTGCATTAAATTTTTAATTTTTCCATTGCGTTCTACTAATATATTCGTTGTGCTGGCAACGTTGTTCTAGAAATTATAACCTAAAAAGTAGTTTAACTTTGACACATTTTAAAAGATCAATTTACACAGCTTGAAAAGCACGATTTTTTGTTGTAAGAGTTGTACAACTTTTATATGACGCGAAGTGTACGATATGTGCCACTTTTCTAAGTGGCCGGAGGAAAACCTTTTAATTAACGTTTAATTTGACATTTAAGCGTCACACCAATGTAGACAGTTGACAAGCATAGCCTGATTTTAAAAACATTGATGTTTAAAGTACTTAAGTTGAACTGTAAATTCTGAAAATTAATTGGGTTCTAAGTCAGAAGAAATTATTAAAAATATAAAAACCGCACGTCATACATACCCACAGAAGACCAGACGAATGTTTTTGCATTTTCGGACTTCACCGGAAATGTGGTGAAAATGGTTAAAAAGAGGGCAAAGATTTTTTTCGTATACAGGAATGCAATAGGTAAGGGGGAGCTCTGTAATATATTCAAGTTCTTTATATTAAATGAATGAAAATAATAATTTAGGCAATCACCTAAACTATTTGTTATAAAAACTGTAGTTTTTTTTTTTAGAAACAATGATTAAATTTAATTGAATGGTGTCCGTCTTTTATTAAACACTAAGTACCAAATGGCTCCTGACACTTTTCTATTTTTTAAAACAAAAGAAATAACTGTACCTAGGTCCTAGGTATAAGTAAAAAAAATGTGTAATTAGCGATAATAATTTATTTCGTCATATAAAATTAACATCGAAGTTAATATAACAAACTATTTTTGCATTGCAAAAAACCACTTTTAAGTGAAATGTACTGTATGCGTCAGGAGAATTTCCATACATTTCTATTTAATCCTGAATCATACAATATTGCTACTCAACAATACACATTTTACAAGCTTCAAGCTATCTTGATGTATTTTTATCATTTAAATGTAAGCCGTTACTGTTTATCCTGTATCAGATGTAATCATATCCATAATCGTCATCATAATCTTCTGGTGTACAGAAAAAAAATTCGATGAGGTTCAAAATGGGACCTCTTGAAAATGGATTTAGATATCTACCACGTTTGTCTCTTAGATAGGGGTATCGTTTGTAATTAAACATCTCGTTCGTAGTGAGGTTCATGCAAGCGTGAAGTATCTGAAATATAAAATTTTTAACTATTATCTAACATAAAAGAGACGGACTTTATTTGATTTATACTAAAAATAAGTGAACATTACATTTTGACAGAACACTTGTTGTTATTAGCAAAAAAGGTTGTGTATTTCGTGCACAATTATTTATTTAAATTGCAAATCGCTTTCGGAATAACGCTATCTTGAGTGCTTATTGTCACCACAATAATTATCCAAAAAGTTAATAGTCATTTATTTAATTTTTGTTTTAAAAACTTCCGTTTTTCATTTTTATCGGTTTTCCCATATTTGGGCGGTTAAAGTGACCAAGACCAACTTGTTGTTATGTTGTTGTGTTGGGTATGGGGTTTTATGCACTAAGACCTAAAAGATCTATTCTAGGGCTAATGCATCAAAGAAATTTATTATTATAGAATACAGTTAAATTGACGAGGAAATTGCAAAAGAAAAATCACGAAGTAAGGGATTTCAAATTGGTACAAATTCATGTAAAAATTTCGAGTCTGGACGTTCCACTTGTTTAAAAATAAATGCTAGTTCCGATGTCTATAACGATCATTTCAATCTTATCTTCCCAAGGAAGTGTAGGATTTGGAGTGCTTTAAGTTAGGTAGATCGCACTCTTCTATTTGGTATGCTCCTAAGTATAGTATTCTTGGATTCTGGTGTGCTACACATTCAGTCAAAATGTGAATGGAGGTTCCTTCCTCCTCACAGAATCTGCACTCACTATCTTCTACTAATTCCATTTTAGTAAGATGCCCTTTGAGTCGGAAATGCCTGGTAATGATCCCTGTTACAATGCGTAGCCTGTTCATCTTCAGGCAGATGCATACTTTCGATCTTTTCTGGATTTATTCACCCAGAAGTTTCTTAGCCTGTCTTAGCCCCAAGAGATTTTTCCAATAATCGGTTCTTCTTTTGACAATTTCTTTTAATATTGTGTTACTGCTGATACCGCAGAACGGCTCAGCTTCTACAAAAGGTGTTTGAGTCCCTTTCCATGCGAGACTATCTTGTTACCCTTTACCCCTTTATGTCCCGGGACCCAAGTGAGAGTACCTAACTGTATTTTGCTCATTCTAGGTATCCTCAGACCATTTTTGATGGTTTCGATTGTTTTTCACGATATTGAACTCCATACACTTCTCAATGACGTGAATTTCCGCCTGGAATATGCTTGGGTATTTACCCAAACTTTCAAAGTGCCTAATTCTAGGTATATACACTCCTATTCCAGTTCCTTCTACCACTGAATTGCATGTCTTTCGGTTGCAAGCACGATGGATTCTTGGCTCCATTCTATCTTGCAGCACAGCTCTGTGGATTTGAAGTTTTTGTACTTCTTTCTCATTTCGTTCTGGGGCATATCCCAAGTATCTTCGGTTCTAAAGCTAATAGACTGTCATCTGATTACTTCGTTCCTGATCATTCTATATCTTATCCTTTTTACCACGTTCTCTATCATTAAAGGTAGAGGGGTGAGGTTTAAGACCACCTATAATGCGGTTGTTGGAGAGGTTCTCATTACACCTGAGAGATGCAAACACAAGCTAGTCTTTGTATTTTTGAGATATTAGCTCTCGTAGTAGCTAAACTTCTTAAATTTGCATCAAATTTTTCTTGACATAGTTGCCAAATGTTTATTTTTTGCCGAAATTGCCAAAATATTGCCTTTTCTACATTGTCGAATAATAAATTGGAGTGTGTTCGTTCTTGATCTACTTCACATACATTATTTTACTTTTCTTAACGTCACTAACGTTACAGTTTTTTTAAAGCCACCTTGATAAAACGGTATCTAATATATTATATCAGGCGTCTTTGGAAAAAGTTTACTTTTAATAAATAATCACAATGCATACATTTTTGAAAAGGAAAAGAAAAGTACTTTCAGATGGTATAAATATAAATAAAATATAGGGTGATCTATTTAAAGTAAACCGATAATTTTGCTTAAAGTAAAGCAAATTTTTCCGGCAGTTTCAGGAAAAAGTATACTTTTGGCAACTATGTCAAAAAAAGATTGAAGCAAATGTAAGAAGTATAGCGTCGATATCTATTTCCATTTTCGAGTTATAAGCTGTTAAAATGTGTTACTTTATAGTGGGACACCCTGTATTGCTGTTCGGGTTACATCCCCATCTTTTATCGGAATGTCCCTACACACTATTAGTTCTTTTGTGGCCTCATTTACTACTTCCTTCTTATGTATGTTGCAGAGAAGTTTGTTGTTCACGGTTAGGCATAAATGAAATATCACTTGGTAGTATTTTATTTGTTTTAAAAATATTTCAAATTTAAACCGGTCCGATCCAAGCAATATCTATTTTAGTCCAAAGAACTGACTCTCTCGAGTATACCTAATGCTTGGGTCTTGGTATGGTCCTGGACTTAATCTCCAAACTTGTTATAATTATAATACTACAAGTTTTGATGAAGATTTATCATTTTAATATTTAATATTGAATTAATCAAATGGCTTCAGATAAGGTAGCCTTAGTGACTGACTGATTGATGGTCCCTGAAAATCTCTAATACCATCATGTGAGGTATCAAATAAAAGTTCTTTAAAGCATGTTTTTGAAAAATGTATAATACGTTTGTTTGCGTAATTTATTTAATACTTTTTTCGAAAATCATTTAAATATAGCTGTCCCCAACTTATCTCCAAAAGTCACGCCTAGAAAACTCTGGAAAAATCACGAAGGTTGTAAATAAGGGGTAGAAAATGATCAATATTGCATTTTGATATAGGTTTTTTGTAAAAAACTGAGGTACTGAAAAATAATTTGCGCAAGTATAAAATTAACTTTACAACACGCTGCATTAACTTATGTGATTATCCATAATCCTGATATCAAAAGTTGTATTCAATAGATGATAGCACGAATTAATCAAATATAACAGCTCAATAATTTACAGTTACATTACAAAAGCAATGTTAAAACATGACAAGCTTGTCTACTAGATAACATAAATGCATGATTATCAACCATTAGTTAATTACATGATTTTATTAATCAACTAAAAGTACATAAAATTATTACATTTTGAATGATATAATCAAGTCGTAATTATTTTTTTTTTTTATTTTATAGATAGGTACCTAAACTACCTAAATAAGAAAATTGGTCAAATAAAAGTTACCATTTTCTATAATTTTTGTCCTATAGGGAAGACTGGGGTATAATGATCCCTCGAGGTTAAATGATTCCCACGAATATAAACAAAACTAGCAGTGTCATCTGTTGAGTATTAGATGAAGTATAATCGAAAGACTAAATACAGTGACCGACAACAATCTGTGAACAGTTAGGCTCATTTTAGCGCCATTTACACGTGTATTATTGTTTTTCTGATTTTCGATGTTATTTCGGGGCGTTTTCGCAGCATTGTTAAAGTGGTATTCAATTCGATCATTTTAAAAACTGAACAGGGTTCGAATTCAGGTAAGTTTAGGCTACTTACCTTTGTGCTGCTTTGCGCAGCATTTTATTGTTTTAAATTTGTAGGTTACGTTTTGTAGAATATTTGCTTTTGGGGTAAAACGATTACTTTATGATATGTTAAAAAGATCCGGGGATCATTTGACCCCATACATTTTTGGAAACCTAGCAATACGTTTATATAGATACCAATATTTGTTCTGGTTATTTTCAGTACGTACCACCGCAAAACCCAGCGTCAAAACTGGGACCTTGAGAACATGGCAAACGCCATAAACGAGGTAAAAGAGAATGGTATGTCATATAAAACTGCTGCACGAACATTTCAAGTGCCTTTAATGTCCCTTAAGTGCAGAGTTAAAAAAAAATTCCCCATAATTTTTCGCGTAAAAAACAGTTGGCTGGATATGACTGGCTTTCCGGATTCCGAAAAAGGCACCCAGAAATAACGTTAAGAGTTCCAGAAGCAAGGGGAATTAATAAAATTGTTGTTTTAAAGTTTTATGATCTTCTTAAAAGTGTTTTGCAGCAGCACAAGTTTCTTGTCCACAGAGTTTTTAATGGCGACGAGACCTCTGTGTCAACAGTTCCTGGCAGAAACTCAAAAACTTTTGCAAAAAGAGGCCGCAAGCAAGTTGTATCGTGTAACATCAGCCGAAAGGGGAGTTTTAAGAACTGCTCTAATTTGCGCTTCTGCTGGCGGGGCTTTTATTCCTCCTATACTAATTTTTAGTAGGAAAAGAATGAAAGCGGAACTGATGGATGGCGCTCCACCTGGAACTATTTTCGGTTGCAATGATTCCGGCAGGACGAAATTAGAATTGTTTGGCCAATGGTTTGATCACTTTTTGAATTTTACGAAGCCAACTAAAAAGAATCCCGTCTTGCTAATTTTAGATGGACATTTGACCCACACTAAAAATCTGAACGTCGGTCGTGACTAAGGCAAAGAAAATAACGTTGTAATATTATGCTTGCCCCCCCCCCTCCCCCCCATACAACACATAAGTTGCAACCGTTGGATGTAGGGGTAATGTATCCATTAGGCACGTACATGGACCAGTCATTGGAAAAATGGATGACAAATAATCCAGGCCGAACAATAACAACGTTCCAAATAAGCAGAATCTTTTCAGAAGCCTACCTGAAAGCATGTGTACCGAATAATGCAATAAAAGCTTTAAAAAACTGGGATTATGCCCTTTATCCTGACACGTTTTCTGACTCTGATTTCGCAGCAGCAGAAGTTACGGAAGATACCCACGAAGCTGCTCAAAATAATCAAGAAAACTTACAGAATAATGAAGAAACCTCTCCAATTCCTGGGCCAAGTATACAACCGGATATCCCTCCAGCAATTACAAATCTGGTATCATCAGACCAATCTGAAGTCGAAATGGATAGTTCCTTTACCGTAACCCCTGCTGATTGCAATCCTCTTCCAAAAATTATGGGAAAGAGAGCAGCTCAAAAACGAAAGTCTGTTGGTACCGTTTTGCTTACGAGTACCCCATACAAAATCATGCTTGAAGAGGAGAATAGGAAAAAAATTGAACTAGACGCTAAGAAAAAAAAAGAAAAACAAGTCAAAATCAGAAAGCACGAAAAAGGTTAAATTAAACAAGAAGACAAAAAAAGTAATAGAGGAAAGTGATGACTCAAGCAGTAACAGCGGATCAGAATCCGAAGAGTACATCTTTTGCTGCGAAAAATACACTGCTTCTTTGACTGGCGAAGGTTGTCAGGTGCATTAAATGCCGAAAATGGGCTCATGATCAGTGTGCTGAGGTCGATGAGAACGATTGCGATTTGAGTGTAATTTCTATTTGCATCCAACCCAAACCTATCTAGTTAAGAAAAATATCAAGTTTTAAATCAGTTATGGTATTAAAAGTTGCTTAAGTTAATTTTGTTAAATAGTGTTGAGCAAGTTTCTGTTTACTCCCTTAAGAGTTTTAAAAATGTTTTAATGCATTGTATTTTATGTTTTATGCTTTTTTTATAAATAAACTAATGTTTTGCATTTATTGTTATATTATTTATCGAAAGTGTAGTAGTAAAATAATGTTTTGAAAATAGTATCATTTTGCCCCATGTGGGGGATCGTTTTACCTCTACTTCGTTTACCTATTGATAAGTTATGTAATGTAACTACAGATGGTGCTCCTAATATGGTTGGAATCAATCAAGGATTTGTTGGGAAATTTAATTCTAAGTATCCGGAAAATGATGTTGTTTTTTTTGCATTGCCTTATACATCAGGATACTCTCTGTAAATAGGCTTTAGACATTGATCATATACTTAATATTGTTGTAAAACTAGTAAATATGATTCGTTCCAGAAGATTATTACATCGCCAGTTTCAATAGTTTTTGGAGTCCGTACATGCTGAGCATTCCGATATCCTGTATTATTCAAAAGTTCGTTGGTTAAGTGCTGGAAAAGTATTTGAAAGAATTTGGGATTTAAAAGACGATATTGTGAATTTTCTTATTGATAAAGACATTTATAATCAATTTGACGTCTTAGAAAACGAAACGTGGCTTTCTGATTTCGCTTTTTTCACAGACCTCCTCGTACACATGAATAAACTTAATTTCAAATTGCAAGGGGAAAATCAGTTTCTTCACGATATTTGGCAATACCTGAAAAGTTTTAAATTACAGTTATTATTATTTGCTAATCAGATCTATAAATCTGATTTTTCTCATTTTCCAAGAATACAATCTTTAAAATTCACTATATCAAACAATAAGATTAAAAAATAGGATATTAATTTGAGAAAACTATCTTCAGAATTTGAAAGGAGATTTCAGGACTTTAGAAAAATGGAACCAGAGTTTAGTATTTTTGCGACCCCATTCAATGTTAATTACGAAGAAGTTGTTGCAAAATTTCAACTTGAGTTAATAGAACTGAACTGTAATACTCTCCTGAAACAAACTTTTCATACAGTACCATTACTAGAATTTTATAAAAATTTAAGTCCAGATAATTTCCCAAATCTAATTACTCATGCAATGAAGATAATGACAATGTTCGGCTCATCTTATATATGCCAACAAATCTTTTCAACAATGAAGCTTAGGAAAACTTCTTTAAGAAACAGAATTACAGATGAGCATCTTTCATCAGTTTTAAGAATCTCTGCTTCGCAAATGGAACCGGACTATGATGAAATTTTGATGAAACAGTCTCAATTTCATTTTTCTCATGCACCATCAACCAGTAATGACACCAGAAAATAAAGTGATATTACTTCACATCAAGAACTACACTAAATTCATTTTATATTTTGTGCTTATAATTTTCTTACCTTTTGCTTTTTTACTATTAAAATAATAAGTGCATGTAATAATATATGTATATGTTTATAGAACACATAAATGTTTTAACGATTAAGCATTATTCTTTGGCCCGCTACGATTGTCTAGTTATTACAAATGGCCCGTCTTAAAAAAAGTTTCCCCACCACTGATCTAGTATTTGGGTAAAATTATCCCTTTGCAGATATTAACAAAAATCATTGGCATTCCAAAATGTGAAGAAAATCAACATCTTTTTAAATACTAAATGGTTGTCAAATGGACACCAAATCCTCTAGAAAAAACAAATAAATGTATATCCCTGTACTTGCAAGAATATAACGAAATTAGCCTCAAGGGGATAATTATACCCCAGTTTCCCCTATATAATTTTCCTCAAATGGTCCGTATTCGATAAATTTAACAAAAGTGCAAAATTCGAATTTTTAAGAAAATAATTCAAATAAAAGTTTGATGATTTTCTCAAGGACCTCATTATTTGATCTTAAACACATTTATATAGGACCACCCCAGAGGTACCCCCCTTTCCAACAAAAAAGAATCAAAGAAATCCGACAACATGGTAAAAAATATTCCGACGAATTGAAAACCTCCTCATTTTTTGAAGTCTGTTAAACTGGTTATAGCGTGTGAAATACCCTGTTTAATCCCATATTAAGGGGGTGGGTTGGCTCGGTGGTTAGGGTCATGACTTTAAGATCGAAAGGTCTCAGGATCGAATCCCACCGGTGCGCGGTGGCAGGAATTTTTATTTAAATAAAAAAAAAAATATTAATTCTAATGCATATGTATGATTCCCTACTCGACCATTCACTGTTGGGTTCTAATTAACAGTGCTGTTCCTAAAGTGGCGCTGGGAAACAGTGACAAAGCCTACACAGGCCACACATGATTGAGAATTCAAACACAAACTGAGACTGGCATATTAGGTACATAAAACTAGGCCATAAATCGAAAAAAAAATCCCATACTATTTGGTATTGTTATAACGGAAAAAGCGAGGGCAATTAAAATATAAAATAAAATACAGGGAGTCCCATTAAAAAAATATATTTTGATATGTAGATATCACTGTCTTGGAGAATCCTGTATAATGGAAATGATTTTTAAAGTGTTGCCTTTTCTGATATACATTTTGCTGTGAAAAAAGATTTAAACAATTCAAATAGTTTTGTCTCTAGACCCACCCTTTATAAGGAATATGCAGTTATTTTTAATCAACTTCTCTTTACGATTTTGGGTCCTCTGAATCCATTTTGATAATTTTCTGTCTGTGTATCTGTATGTGTGTGTGTGTGTGTGTCTGTCTTCGTCCACGATAACTCAAAAATTGATAAAAATAAGGAGAACAGTTTTAAACTTTCTCCATTCTGCGATAAGCTGATTAGATTTTGAGCATAGTCGGAGCATACTATAAACTACAAATAATATTCTTAATGTTAAGAAACTTACCGAAGTACATGTAAGAATCCACCCCAATCCAGAAAATATAAAAGCTTCCAATAATCCAAGAATATAGAGTATACCAAAACCTTCTAGTGCTATACAATACATCGCAAAATAAATGGTAAAGGAGCAATTCACAGCAATACTCATCACAAACAAGAAAAACCAAGTCCTGTTCCTTAAACCAACACAGTTGTAAATAAATGGACAATGATGGTCGAAATAAGATACGCATCTGTTGCAAATCCTGCAATGTTTGGCTCTTAGAGGTCTCAAACATCTACAAAAATATTACAAATTGATTTTCAGGAAAAAATGCTTAGGTCTATCAAATAGTAGAGTTTTGGTTATGTCCCAGAATATTTACATACCTGCAAGTGTGGCAAAGTCTATTTAAAATAGAGTTACGTTTTTTCCATTTATCAAACATTGGAATTTGTTTTATAGACCTGTGATAAGACTCTGAATTCATTGGAATATAGCCAGGATTCTTCCTATTAGCGACTATCCAACAAATCCACATTACTATATTCCAGTAGATAAAACAATAGTGTGATCCCCTTAGAATGTTCCAAGTTATTGGTATACACTAAAAAATAATTTATTTGTAAACAATTCCATTGAAATTTTACAATAAAATTAGTTCATAATACACTTAAAAAAAACATCGGCAACTTATGCAATCAGTTACGAAATACCTCATTTTATGTAACGAGTGAATATTTGCAGGACGAGCAGAGCGAGGTCCCGCAACATGAACGGTTTATATAAAACGGCATTTCGTAACGTGTTACATACAATATTGTTACGTTTGTTTAATTTATTTATAGTTTATTTATTCAAAACACACTTAAATTCAATCTGCCGTCCGTCGACAACGCGCGCTATTTATATAAAGCCAACTCTGTACTAGAACTCTCTAGGCTTTTTATGACTGATACGCCGAACCGCAATCATTCCGGTGGTTTCGAGAAGCGGTGCGTTTGTTTCTATATTGCCAGACTTCAAACCGCGGGCAAGGAGTAAACAAAGCACAGGGTATGCTTTTGCGCGACAATATGTCTTCTAATTTTGACCAGATTATTTACAAAAATGTGTTTTGGTAAAGAATTACTGACATCTAGGCAACCAATTACTTTATTGTATTGTTAGTTACATATGCACAGCTTTATTTGTTTTATTGACAAAGAGAAAATCATATTAATTTATTCTCAACGACTTGTAGTGTGTTTATGTTGCTTCTTTTAGTTAGTTTTCAAGAGAGTGGATTATTTTGTCATGAATTGTGTTTGGAATGGAAAATAAGGATCAAAACAACATTATTACTAGGTTGTAAGTTCAACTAAATTCCATTTTTATAAGTCAACGGGCCCTTCTTCGATACAATCTTTCAATAATAATAATATATATAACCAGTTTCATAATGTTCAACATTATGCAACTGGTTGCGTAAAGTAGATTATTTTGACACTTACTGCGATTACAAAAAATGTCACTTGGAAAAATACAATTTTAAACAGTGCGCAAAAGATAAATGCTTTTTAAATAGCCTTTTAAAGACTTTTAGAATGCAGAAGAACCTTGTATACAAATTTAATAGAAAATAAAATATAAAACAATTTTAGTAAATTCTAAATAAAAATTCAGAAGAAAATTTTTAAAATTTATATGTAACTTTTTTTGTATACCTAAATTAAAATATTAGATATTGAAAGTAAAAGTAGGTGCATAATAATTCTATTCAAAAAGCCAAATAAACATTTTCTTTCAGTTATAAAATAAATAAACACAAAATAAAATTAAAGCATCATAAATTGCTAATATACCTGGTGACAATGAAACCAAAGCCACGTTAATATATCTTTTATTTATGAACCGATTTGTATGAACTTTGTAACAAACCTACTAAACATGACTTCGACCATGTCGCACACCAATCTCACGACCAACCTCTCCAGCTACTCAAATGTTAAAACAGTTTTTGTTTTGAGTTATTCGAGGCTATTAGAACATTATTTTTCAGTTCATTGCTTTTTACCTCAAAAAACAATTTAAAAAAAATGTTGGAGAAAAATAAAAATTTGGCAAGAGTATCATATGTAAAAAAACATCAAATATACAGGATGATCCATCTAAATAATTAAACATACGGTAAAACTAAATGTGTCAATTCGAAATTATTTACAAATAGTAGGTTTGTATCAAATTTGATCAAAATCGCTTCACAAATAAAAGAGATATTAACGTTGCCCATTGCCACCCGGTATAGTACATAGTTCATAATTATTATACTCACCCTAATTACATACATGGGATATCCCCACAACAAAACTGAGCTCATAAAAAATATTAATGGGGCTTTAGAGTTTCCAGCTTTACCGAAAAGTAGACCCCAAACTTCGTTCAACGGAGGAAACCAACTAGAACGTCGCTTTTTTTCAGTGTGGAGTAATTCTACAATGTCATTGTGTCTGTGGCTTTGAGCAAGCATCAATGGAGTTTTATCGTTTTTATCTAAGGGTTCCAAGTCTACGTTACTCTAAAAAAGTATTAAAATTATTTTGTAAATAAGATGAGTGAAAAAATTTCTTATTCGTTGAAATAGATGTGGACTTTACGCGAATAACAGTGATTTTTACACGAGTTTTAACGAACTCTGGAATGGAACGCGTATCTGAATTTTCTATTGTAGAATCAAAAAGATAGAGGGCTCAAATATTATTTTTAAATTGGTAGGCTTAAGGGGCAAATGACTCAAATATTTTTACAGGGGTAGGTGTTAGTGGTAAAGGGACCAAATATTTTGAATAAAGGATAAATTAACCAAATATTATTTTATAGGCAGACGTAAGAGATAAAAGGACCACATATTTTTATGAGCTGCAAATTAAAAATAACTTACTTTTTCGCAAAGAAGTTTAACACAAATCAAATTTCCCGATAAACAGGCCAAATGTAAAGGCGTCGATCCAAAATGATCAGGTTTTTGTAAATTACTTCCAGAATACATCAATAACCTTATTAAATCAGCGTGCCCTTTATAAGCGGCCCAGTGAAGAGCCGTGTCTCCATTAATATCCATTAAATCATTTGAGGCACCCATTCCGAGCAAGAAGGCGGCTGTCGCTGTTCTTCCAAACATACAAGCTGTCATTAGTGGTGTAAGACCTTTGAAATCGGCTGCGTTTACTGCTACGCCGGCCTGTAGGAGCACCTGAACAAGTGCGGTGTGACCTTTAAAAAAATACAGTATTTAGAGGATTAGATAAAGTCTGAGTCTCCCAACAAACACTGAAGTTGCGGCAAAGTGTTTGCCTTTTAACGAATTGGTTAAATACAAAGTAACTTGTAAAATGGTTATGGTCCTTCTGAAATTTGTAATGAATTGCCTTTTTAACGTTAACATTGTTTGTTAATTTAATTGGTTTGACATTTCACTGTTTAATTGAGGTTTCTAGGTCTACGCAATGAGTATCTGTCAGATATATCAATTGCAATTCATGAAAGTGATTTAAAAATTAATGTGAATTTATTAATTTAAAATCAATTTTACGGAAGTAGTTTTATTATGCTAATTCACTGGTCTGCAAAAAAAATTTTTTTTTCTCCTAATTGTTTTCATGCATGAATTCATCATATTTTATGGTCTAAACAAGGAATTTGTCATGCAAATAATTATAGCACATAGATTTTTTATATCAGTCCATTTAATCAAAAAATGATATTATCAAAATAACAAAAATAATAAAAAAGTGAAAAATCATTACGATCCAAGTTTTACAGTGAATTATGACAAAAAAACCATAGACTAACACAAGACCACTAACGACAACCCTGTTTTTTCTAGCTTTTTCAGGGGACAATAACGAAATTAAGACACGACAAACCCACAAATACATACAATTCCCGACTATAATCCTTCCTAATCCTTAATAATACCCCCTGGGTAAGGAGTGAGGGCGACTATGTTTTAGCAAAATCATAATAGACGAAATATGGATGCATATAACAGGTGGAGAGATCGCCTAGGCCTTATTTTACGTAATTTTAAGGTCGCATACTGTACTGTGTACAGTATGCAGAATGTAAACAATGGGAAGACCAGTTTGCAATTAACTATTATAAACTCACAACGGATACTGTGCATGCGCATGTGTACTACCATAAAAATCACTTTCAATACTTTCTTTCTTTTACAACTCGCTAAAACTTATTTTGTATGTATATATACTGTTCTTAATATTGACACACAAAAAAATTAAAGAAAAACAACTAAATTTATGAAATTAAAAAAAAATCATATTGAAAAATCTAGACGTGATAGAAAAAATCGGCCAACGGGAATAGATTCAAAGCATTAAAATGTTCATATTTATAGTATAATTTTTTAAAGGAGGATTTCATTGCAGACCAGTGTACATATCTCTGTATCTGTCGAAGGTGAGTTAACCCACTTAAGCCTCACTAGGCAGATTGTGTATCCTCCTAAGTTAATAGGCACCTCCTAGCTCGTGCCTACATATTTGTTATTTACCTATACAGGGTGTTTTCAAAGTTGAGTTATTTATTTTAACAGCTTGCAGAACTCGTCAAAAGAAGTCGATATACCAAAAATCACCTAAATAAAAGTTGTATATTAAAAGAAATAAAAAGGAATTTCAAAATTTTAAAACTAAAACAAATACAAACTATTTATCCGCATATTTTAATATTCCGGACCACAGCCAAGTAAAAACCTATCGTTGTTTGTTTACTACGGCAATTTTACTTATCTAGGTATGGCTATTTTTTTTTTGTTTTACGGTTTTGAGAACGATTTTCGGTTAGTTATTGGTATCAAGCGTTTAGTTCGTATCACTTTAATTTTTTTGATATTTTGTACGGAAAAGTGGCCCACGTTTATGGAAACAATGAACCAGTGGACATAATACTAACATACGGAGAGTGCCAACAAAATGTAGCCGCAGCATGTCGCCTTTACGCGGAAAGGTTTCCATTAAGAAATCATCCGGCTCCACGGATTTTTGTAAATTTAGTTATTCGACTTCGTGAGACAGGATACTTGAAAGAACAACGAAGGGGTCACGCTGGAAGACCTGCTCCACCTGAAATGTTAGAAATTGAGGAAAATATTTTGGAAATGGTGGAAGATAACCCAACAATAAGTACCAGAGCCATAGCAACTCAAGTCGAAGTTTCCCATAGTAAAGTGTGGAAAACAATACGACAGAAACAATATTATCCTTATCATTATCAACGGGTACAAGCATTACAACCTGAAGATCATCCTAGAAGAGTTGAATTTTGTCAGTGGTTTTTACAACAGTTGAGTAGAAATGAAAATTTTACGAAAATAATTTTAGCTACAGACGAATCCACATTTACACGAAATGGGACATTCAATTTTCACAACAATCATGTTTGGGCAGTAGAAAATCAGCATGTCGTAAGAATATCTAATTTCCAAAATAGATTTTCATTAAATGTTTGGGCTGTTGTAGTAAATGGAATGCTTATTGGACCATACTTTTTTCCACCTCGGCTAACCGGTGACATTTATTTAGATTTTCTTCGTCACCATCTGCCAGAATTATTAGAAGATGTTCCACTGAATGTTAGGAAGGATATGTGGTTTCTACATGACGGAGCTTCACCGCATTTCAGAAGAGGAGTTCGTGAATATTTGAATGAACAGTTTCCGAATAGATGGATAGGGAGGATTGGACCCGTTTCTTGGCCTGCACGCTCCCCGGACGGTTATTTAAAACAGTTGGTGTATCATGATGGAGAAGTAAATAATGTGGAAGAACTTCAAGACCGCTTTGTAAATGCTTGTGATGTTATTCACGGACATGCGGATTTTATTTTTGAGGCCTGTCAGGAGTCGTGGGTACGCCGAGCAAGACTATGCATTAATCGGATAAATGGTGACAATTTTAAACAATTTTTGTAAAAATGGAATACATTTTACCGATAATGAATGTTTTTAATTTAAAAAAAACCTATAACTCCCTTATTATGCAACTTTTATTTAGGTGATTTTTAGTATATCGACTTCTTTTGACGAGTTAAAATAAATGACTCAACTTTGAAAACACCCTGTATTATTAGTTATTTTTATAATGCCAGATTATATTTTTGTGTGTTTTAATAACAAATGAATTATATCTGGAATAACTTAACATCCAGTAAGTACATGATTTGATAGATTCGTACTCAACTAAATTATATAGCCTAACTGTCTTTACGGCGAAAACACAGATTTGCCATTAGAAAGTGTATCTAATGAAATACGAATTTTTTCTGCTTACTTTTATTCAAACAAAAATAATATCAATTAACCCGATAGAGTAGAAACAGATTCGGGTACAATAAGCCTTGAGCTTTAGTATACTATTGAGCTTTAAACGAAGCTGTGGGAGATGAGGTCACAACTGAAAATGGTAGCGGTCAATAACCAGAGCCATCGCGGGTTGCTTCGCGAAAAAATTATACATAAAAGGAGAAAATTAAAAAACAAACTAACTTACCTAACCTGTGCGGCCTAGAATCATCGTGGGTTGCTTCGCAAAAAAAGATACATAAAATGAGTAGAACCCAGTTTCATATGCACCCTAGTGGGCAAATTTTGGATCTTGGCACATTTAATATTTGTTACCTGACTCTGGATCATTATTTTATTTAGTATGCAACACACAGCAATTGTGGTGAAACACTAAAAACTCGAATGTGCTTGCGAAGAGTTCAAATACGAATAAAACTGAAATTAGAGTAAATGGCATTATGTAATAGGTACAGCGATAATATTTCTAATCTGTCATAAGTATAAATGAATCTGGACCCAAAGTCAGGTAACTAAACTGGGCCCAATTCATTTTAAGTATACTTTTTTCCAAGCAACCCGCGATGGCTCTAGGGCGTACAGGTTAGGTAATTTAGTTAGGTTTTTATTTTTTTATTTTATCTATATTTTTTGGCGAAGCAACGCGCGATGGCTGTAGGCCACATAAATAAGGTCAACTAGTTTTTTTTAATTTATCAATTTTTTCCATTTAATGTTTAATTTTTTGCAAAGCAACCTGCGATGGCTCTAGACCACACAGGTTAGGTAAATTAGTTTTTTTAATTCTTCTCATTTTATGTATATTTTTTTTGCGAAGCAACCTGCGATATCTCTTGACCCCAGAGGTTAAGTAAATTAGTTAAGTTTTTATTTTTTTTTTCCTGTGGAATTCTCCAATATGCTTAAATGTCTGGGCCCACCTTCCTAATGGGCTTACGGATTAAGAGGTATTGGGCCCAGATTCGTACTGCCTAAATAAATTGGTACCTTTAGTTTAGGATAGGGATTAATATTTTTGCCCGAATCTCGCACTGCGTTGTGGTTAATGACCGCAAGTCCCACTGACTGCATCTCACAGAACATCCTTTGAACCACAGCCTAATTCAGATAGAAAGATAGCCAGTATAAGATTAAACATAAATAATTTTTTTATTAAAATTGGTGAATTTGTATTTGATTTTTAAATATTTTCTGTTTGCATTTGTTTAATTTCTATTTGAATACTTTTTTTTGTGATTACTTAAAATTAGAAATACATATTTTAATTTATTACCTTTTCGACATGCCCAATGAATTGGCCGGGGTCCTTGGGTACCAAGACAAGGTAAATCAATAGGTGCTCCTTTATCTACGATGTAACGCATAATTTCCACATTTCCATCAAGGGCTGCCCAGTGAGCTGGCGTGTAGCCCCACTCATCCCTAGCTCTAAGTACTTCGCTACCTGATTTTTCAACATATTCTGCAATTTCCGATAGTTCCCTGTAAAAACAAATTCTTTGTTATAGGATTTAAATCGCCTATTAAAAATATGGTATTTCAATAAAAATATGCAAGCAAAATATTAACTGTATTGGTACCTAACCGTTTTTAATTTATATACAGTGAGCATCATAAGTCTTACCCCCCTATCTAACTCGTTACTGGAGGCTTGAAAGGAAAATCGCCGAGACATGTCGATTTTTGATTTGTTCAATGTACATTTTTGTATGAATAGTTTACCCTTAATTTCATCCCTTACTTGAGGGGAGCAACCCTTTTGAAAAATTTAAATGGCATGGGGTGGTGAGTGATAACTCATTTGAAAGGGGGTTTTATTCTCTATTCAACCGTGCAAAAAATTTTGAAATTTGCTTCATTACGTATTGATTTAATAATGTTTAAAAATAACAAAACATCACAAATAGGAAAGCAACTAAACTAACAGTGATCTTATCTAATGGCAAAAAGTCTTACGTGACGTCTGAACCAAAATCAATATCATGCAGGGCCGAATTTTAATTCTAGGGCTACGTTAATTTTCTTTATTCTGTAACAATAATTAGTCAAGAATTAATGAAGCAAATTTCAAAATTTTTTGCACGGTTGAATAGGTAATAAAACCGCCTTTCAAATAAGCTATCACTCACCACCCCAGGCCATTTAAATTTTTCGAAAGGGTTGCTTACCTTCAGTAAGGGATGAAATTAAGGGTAAACTATTCATACAAAAATGTACGTCTTGGCGATTTTCGTAACAAGACTCCAGTAACGAGTTAGATAGGGGGTAAGACTTATGATGCTCACTTTATTATTTTTTCCAGTTTTGTCTAATTTGTTTAAATTGAGATTGAAAAATATTGGTGTTCCGCGAATTTTTATGTTATATACAGAGTGTCCGGGTATTCGACCGACAACGCCTGACAAACGACCTAAGATACCTAGTGTATCAAAAATAAAAATCGATATAAAGTGAAAATAATTTTGTATGCATGTCTTTAATCCAAATAAACTATTAACATGAATTCTAAAATGTATCAGCTCAAATATGTTCCTTAGGGAACTCCAAAGGTAACAGGTTTGCCTAATAACACATTTTTAATTCATGTTAATTATTTTCACTTATATCCTTCTCTTATTACTGAATGTACTTCCCAGATATATTCCATTGTTACTCTTTTTACGTGATTATTTTTACAAATAGTTTTCTTTTTGTTTTTTCAATTGGATGTTCATTGATAATCATTATTAGTATTTTCGTCTATTTATTTCCATTCCCATTTTCCCAATTTATTCTATTCGCTATTCATGCTTTAACCCGCCTTATTTTATAAAATTTGAAACCATATTGCTTGTAAAAAATTTAAATGTTCATCTTTCAAAAGTTGTATTTAAAAGTATAAGCCAAATGATGAAAACTCGAATGTATTTAATGTATTTATTTAAATGTATTTAAATGTATTTAAATGTATTTAAATGTATTTAAATGTATTTAAATGTATTTAAATGTATTTAAATGTATTTAAATGTATTTAAATGTATTTAAATGTATTTAAATGTATTTAAATGTATTTAAATGTATTTAAATGTATTTAAATGTATTTAAATGTATTTAAATGTATTTAAATGTATTTAAATGTATTTAAATGTATTTAAATGTATTTAAATGTATTTAAATGTATTTAAATGTATTTAAATGTATTTAAATGTATTTAAATGTATTTAAATGTATTTAAATGTATTTAAATGTATTTAAATGTATTTAAATGTATTTAAATGTATTTAAATGTATTTAAATGTATTTAAATGTATTTAAATGTATTTAAATGTATTTAAATGTATTTAAATGTATTTAAATGTATTTAAATGTATTTAAATGTATTTAAATGTATTTAAATGTATTTAAATGTATTTAAATGTATTTAAATGTATTTAAATGTATTTAAATGTATTTAAATGTATTTAAATGTATTTAAATGTATTTAAATGTATTTAAATGTATTTAAATGTATTTAAATGTATTTAAATGTATTTAAATGTATTTAAATGTATTTAAATGTATTTAAATGTATTTAAATGTATTTAAATGTATTTAAATGTATTTAAATGTATTTAAATGTATTTAAATGTATTTAAATGTATTTAAATGTATTTAAATGTATTTAAATGTATTTAAATGTATTTAAATGTATTTAAATGTATTTAAATGTATTTAAATGTATTTAAATGTATTTAAATGTATTTAAATGTATTTAAATGTATTTAAATGTATTTAAATGTATTTAAATGTATTTAAATGTATTTAAATGTATTTAAATGTATTTAAATGTATTTTAACGTATTTTAATGTATTTTAACGTATTTTAACGTATTTTAACGTATTTTAACGTATTTTAACGTATTTTAACGTATTTTAACGTATTTTAACGTATTTTAACGTATTTTAACGTATTTTAACGTATTTTAACGTATTTTAACGTATTTTAACGTATTTTAACGTATTTTAACGTATTTTAACGTATTTTGGGGTCTATTCTGTAACAATTCCTTTATATTTAACGGCCTTTAAAAATATTGGCGGCCTTTAAAATATTTTCGTATTCGTTCATTTACTTCTGTCATTACTTAAACAGATTTCTTTAAGATAATTCTTTAATGTATTTTAAAGATCCGTTTAAATAATGACAGAAGTAAAGAAGAAAATATTTTTAAAGGCCGTTAAATATAAAGGAATTGTTACAGAATAGACCCCTTTAACTTTTAAATCAATCACTGCAAAAACTCGAAATTTCCGAAATCATCCTGAAAATCACTATCGGAATCCACACCGAAATTACTATAAATGACAAAACACAAGGGAAGAGACAAATAGAGAAAAAAAGGTCGACTAAACAAGAAGTGAAGAGGTTTTCAAATTTAAAAATGAAAACATTTTACAGAGAAATTATAGGAAATGTTATGCTATGATTTCGCCGAAATCACCGAAACCCTATAAAACTAAGGGATATTTCGGCGCTATCACCGAAATCACCAAAATCATCGAACTCGTATAAAATTAAGGAGGATTTCGGCGAAATCGCTGAATCCATATGAATTTTAGATGATTTCCGAAATACAGACAGGTACGTTTCGACCTTAGTACTTTATTCTTCGCAAAAAATATTGTATGCAAAACGTTACGAAATGCCGTTTTGCGTAACTTGCATTTCCGGAGGACATTTCTAACTGGTTACATAAACGAATTTAAATATATTTGCAGCTAATAAAATTTATTTAAAAATATTTAAGCATGTAATTTTGTATTTAAAGTTATGAAATTAAATACTTTTTAAAATTTGCATATCTCGTTAAGTCTTGCAAACGAAATTAAAAATCAAAGTTTTGACAAAGGAACTTGTCACTTACCCAGTTTTAACCAAATCGAAAATATTCCTGAGAGAATACTCATTAATATCCGCTTCGGATCCGTCTTTTTCGTGGTTGGCGGATGCAGCAGGATGATCCGTATCGGCCACCATGTTGCAGGAGGCCGTCTGCGGGAGGGCCCATACACTGCGGGCTATGCCCGGACTAGGAAACACCTTACACAGCGTACTGCCGGCTATTTCGCCTACACTCCCCGTAATTCCTGCCTTTTTTGCTCTCGGTAGCGATTGATTACTTTGCGGATGTTTGACAGCGTTTTTCACTTTTGTGATTATGTAAACATATGTATGCGGATGAACAGACAAAGAGCGCCGATATAAAAATGGAAAATATCGATTGTAGCTTCGTGAGTCGGGAAATTGGGATACTAAAGTCTTGCGCAACAATGGAAACTACCCGAGTGCACGCATTTCGGTATTTAAGATTAAGATTGGAAATCGTGTAAAGGAAGTTGGAATGAAAAGTTGATGGTTGTAGTAACTCAAGGACATAAATAATTAGGTACCTAAAAGTTATTTATGTAATAATAGCTGAAAGTGTAATATTACTGCCAAGCAAGGTCGTAGTGAAGAAAACGTTCAGGGGGTTGGGATAGTTTTGTTAACTAGGTGTACAGAAGTAACGAAATACATTTCAACATAAAAGTTATTAATAACGTTGATAAAAATTTTTGGATATGATATTTAAAAACAGGTCATAATAGTTGCATTCTTTTATTTTGTCCTTCCTAGGAATTTTTTTTTTGTTTAGGATTGTATGACTACAAACATTCAGTTCATTCTCCTATATATTTTACCGATTTTGTCGATTTTGCTCTTTTTTTACATTTACAAGTTCTACCAATATTACCTATTTACATAAATTTTTTTTTAATTATATATACATTTTTTGTTTTGTTTCTTTATTTATTTTTTTTTTTTTTATTTTTTTAAATATTTTTTTTTTTATTGAAGAAAATGGAAAAGGTAGAGACAAGGACACTTTTACGCCTAACGGTCGTTCTAGGCGATTTATACATGTACAGGTAGACCACGGTTTGTGAAGGTGATACAAGAGGTTAGACATTAATGGTTAATAACCTATACTATAATATACAGTTTTTATTTTAATTACATTATTATTTATAATTTAATTTTTGTTTACAATTTTAATTTTATATACAAATTAGAGAGGTTTACATCCAGGGGGGCTATTTTCAAAGTATGGGAGCACTCATTTCTCTCAAGATTCTCATCAGAAATATCATACGTCAATGTGGAAATGTTGTTTTTAAAGGCATCGAGGATTAAAATTCTTAGGAAGATTTTAATTCTCTCTAAATAAACCGAGGGAAACAGTCAGTGAGTTCACACTGGCCCGAAGAGCCCTAAAAATACGGTTTTACGTTGACGTATGACATTTCTCTTGAGAGAAATGAATTCTATCGAGTTTGAAAATAACCCCCCAATGATAATTTTGAGCCGTAGAAACTATGGCTTGCTTTACTCTACATCTTTCTCTTATATTGTTTTTATTATATTACTTATTATAAAAAGTACCCAAGTTAAGTTTCTAATTTGATATTATTTCTTTGCAGAAGGTGCTGTAAAAAGTAGCAAATGCAAAGAGAAGAACGTTGCAGAACAGGAAATTGTGAGATGCTAAGAAGAGCTGATGATAGTCTAAAAACTTTAAAAAAACATAGCAAAACAATTTAAATTATTCTTTTAATGTAAAAAATTAAATAAATACAAATTAACTTGTTTACTTTTTTTTTGTATTGCACTAATATGTACATTTTACATCATAAGTAAGTACCAATAAGGATGAAAAGAACATCTAGAATATGTACTCTATTGAAATAAGTGCCAACATAGTACGTACACAGTACGTACATTAGGTACGTACAGAGTACGTACTTTAAGTACGTACAGAGTACGTACTTTAAGTACGTACTAGGTACGTACCGTCGTTTGGAAAATGTACGTATTATGTACGTATTATGTACGTACTATGTACGTACTTCGTACAGTAAAGTACGTACATGGTACGTACTTTACGTCCCATCAGTACGTACATAGTACGTCTTATGTACGTATGTGTGTTTGCTGGGATGGTATTTTACAAAATAAATTTGATACGGTGAAATTAAAAGGGGAGATTTTTAAAAAATCACCCTGTAATAATACATAATTTCTGTGTCACTAAACCAAAACTTATAGCAAAATAACACAAATCAGCGAAAACCGCACGTTTCTACGATTAGGCGCTTAAAAGTTATAAGCTCTGGAAACGGGCTACTTTTCATTGAGACACCCTGTATTTTGCTACCGACCCATTCCAAAAATGTTTAATAAAGTGTATAGAATTTATTTTGAAAGTTAGACTCATTTTTTAAATACAGATGAAATTAAAAGGTAGATTTATGTTTTGGAGTGAGGGTAGCCATATGTGAGTAGTAGGGATTAAGTGTAAAGGTTAAAGAAAAGGTCCTTTATTTCTCACAAAGTCAATTTATTGGCGACCGGTTTCGAAGTTGTCACTTCATCATCAGGCACACCTTGACTAATTCCATAAAGGAAGCGCTACAAAAAATTGACTTTGTGAGAAATAAAGGACCTTTTCTTTAACCTTTACACTTAATGGTAGATTTATGATTTTCACATTTCGAGTGCAGTATTTGAGAGATATACAATATGCCTATTTTTTCGTGTTATGCATACGACTAGTATACAAGCTAATAAAATGGCAACAGGACAACAGCCAGTCGTCGCGGTCGACCAGAATTTGAAGATATTATGGTGATGGGATATTAGCCAAACCAAATATCAGTGACTATAGCACAAATAGAAGTTGGAAAGGCTTTTGCCAGTTCTCCCACTTTATACACATAAAAATTGACAGGTTTTCGGCGGATCTAACCGAAGTGAACGCGATACATTGGCGTACAAAATTATTTTATAGATGTTAATAACAATTTCGAGTAAATAGTTTAATAAATATTATAATAAATGTTTAATAATTATTTATAGTCCAAAAATACATGCGATTGTCCGGTTAGCCGGTAAAAATTTTAAATTACTTATTCTATGAAACGACACTGGCAGGTAAACATTACTCCGAAATTCTCGAAGACGTCTGACGTGGTTTAACGTTCACCCCCTCTCTACCTACCAAAAGCCTTTCCAACTTCTACTTGTGCTATAAACCAGAGTACATAGCGATAGCACGGATACCGTAGTTGCCACGTGTTCACCGTAAAAGCACGGCTATGCCTAATACAAAATAATAAGTACTGTATAGGATTCCACTATAGTGTAATCATGATAATTTTTCTAAACTTAACTTCTGGATCTTAGTTAATCGTAGTTTTGCCTAAGAATAACAAGCCACGAAGAAGCTATTCTACAATAACTGGCGGTCCTTTGAAGATTGGAGAGTACAATTTTGTGTCCTTGAATTTGACTACACCGAAAAAAAAATTATGTAGCGTAATAAATGGTATTCACTTAGAAAAAATCTGAATGGAAATGTAATTTTTAACTTTTATTATTGGTAGGGGAGCCAGTGGAACTTTTAGGTGTATTATTTGCGCAAAGCAAAATTACAAATATTTCGTTCATTTTGACCTTGTAGAACATGGAAATACTTTGCCAGTCCCTACAGCGATGGAGTTCTCGATGACGACATCTTAAAAAAGCCTGTTTAGATAATACGTTGTGCAAATGTGTACCAAATAAGTGTCACTGCCTCCCCTACTATATAGACTAGATGACAGTTGTTTAAAGTAACGATGACAGGGGGTAATCGTCGTAGCCAACCCAACAGTTGTAAGGCGAGGATAAGAGAGAGATAAATAAGTTGTATGGAAAATTGCTAGATTCAAAACACCCGCGCTTTTTTCGCGCATGAGTAATGTGAAATTGTCGAATTACGGGAAAGGTGAATTGTCAGTTTTTTAAATAAAAAATAAAATATATTTTTAACTCAAACAAAACGAATCGGCAAATAACAAGAATCGCGACTGAACTAGTTAAACTGACAAAGCTATCTATGTGGCAAACGTGTTGAAATTGAAATGATAGTTGAGTTACCCCACACTCCTTTTTTTGGCGGAAACGGCTTTATCGCTTCTCTGTGGTTGTTATTCTCGGATTTTGCTCTATGCTCTTATCTGGAAACTAATTATTGTTTTTAGTTATTAATTTTTTATTGTATATGGCGGCCGATTGTATAAAACGACCACGAAAAGTAGCACATCACTTTTTTGTTCGCTCTTTATAGTTTGGTTCAGGGGAAGGGGATAAACATGTTACACTATATACGTGTGTCTTTTTTTCCACCGGTTTGTTGCAACCGTTGTTTCACCGATGCGGCCTTGAACGTTTTGTGTTGGATTCTGGTTGATCGTTGAAATAAATAACAGTTGACATACCGCACCGATGCCAACGTTGCTGCAACAGTTGGATAAAAAGACACACGTTATGCGAGCGGTGAGAGAGAGGTCACATGATCTGTGAAATTCAAAGTAAAATTTCGCATCGATGGATATTTGATTTTTAACCCGAAATTAAATATATGCTTCTAGACGTCTAGAATAATAAAAAAATGCATTTGCGGGCATTTTCTGTCGTTCAGTTTAGTTACTTTCGATGTAAGGATTCCGGCCACGTGACCGTATATATTACAAAAAAAATTGAGGACAAATTTTTAATCCACGTTTCACATATTAACCTTTAACTTCATTAAGCAACTTTTTATACACTTTCTCGTAAATACTGTTGCCTAATTTCCTATTCTGTACACATGTTTTAATTTTTTTTTTTTTATGTATACTTACTTTTTTAGCTGAAGTAATAAAAATATATAATAATAATAATAATAATAATAATAATAATAATAATAATAATAATAATAATAATAATAATAATAATAATAATAATAATAATAATAATTAATAATAATAATAATAATAATAATAATAATAATAATAATAATAATAATAATAATAATAATAATAATAATAATAATAATAATAATAATAATAATAATAATAATAATAATAATAATAATAAATAATAATAATAATAATAATAATAATAATAATAATAATAATAATAATAATAATAATAATAATAATAATAATAATAATAATAATAATAATAATAATAATAATAATAATAATAATAATAATAATAATAATAATAATAATAATAATAATAATAATAATAATAATAATAATAATAATAATAATAATAATAATAATAATAATAATAATAATAATAATAATAATAATAATAATAATAATAATAATAATAATAATAATAATAATAATAATAATAATAATAATAATAATAATAATAATAATAATAATAATAATAATAATAATAATAATAATAATAATAATAATAATAATAATA